CAACCGGAGGATGGTTAGATGCGTGGGCTGGTGAAGGTGGCTGGGTGGGCGGGTGGTTGATGGGTGGGTAAGGTGGGTGGGTGGTTGATGGGTGGATAAGGTGGGTGGGTGGGTGGTTGATGGGTGGATAAGGTGGGTGGGTGGATGGTTGATGGGTGGGTAGGGTGGGTAGGTGGGTGGGTGGATAAGGTGGGTGGGTTAATGGTTGATGGGTAGACAGGGTAGGTGGGTGGATGGAGAATTGGATACGTGGGTGGGTGGGCAGATAGATGGACAGACGGATGGACGATCGGGTGGGGAGTAGACAGAGTCGGATGGAGGATGGATGGGTAAGTAATGAACAGACAGATGGGGGCTAAGCCAGGAGGGGGGAGGCCCAAAGCTCCATCCAACCTCATGGGTAGCCTGGAGGAACAGAGGTGCCTTGCCGTGCTACAGGAAGGCCTCCTGCGGCTTTCCCTCATTCCCCTCCCCTATCATCAGGGACGTGGCAGGGGAGATGAGGGCTGGGAGTGAGTCCATAGCTTTTTCCACTCCGCATGCCATCGCCCGCAGCTATTTCGGAAATGGGAGCTACTTCCACTTGAGAAGAGAAACATGAACCTCGCAAATATGCTGTCAGCTCTCAACTAGAAAGGACCAGCCCCGAGCCCTGTCACCAAGGAATCTCTGAATTGACTTCAAGTGATTCTCAAGAAAAGGGTGGGCCAGCAAGGGTCCCGAGTAGGAGGGACAGGCACTCCTAGGCCTGGGGGCACCAGTAAAGGACATGGCTGTCCCTGAGTCGCCATCATTTACTCTGTAGAGGTTTTTGTTTTTTTAGCAGAAAACCTTTTTCTTACAAAATACAAGCCTGCTGTAGAAATCAGACGAGATAGAAATAAATGCTTTGTTTCCTGTATTTTATAGCTACTGCCCGTTCCCACCAGCCTCCCTGTGTGCAAGAGTCTCACAGACAGCCAGGGCTCCAGACGGGGAGTAAACACACACACACACACACACACGCATGCATGCGCGCGCGCACACACACACGCGCGCGCGCAAACGCAGGATCTTACTACACAGGTGCTTCTCAACCTTGGCACAATTGACATTTGAAGCTCAGTGATACTTTGTCCTGGGCTGCCCTGTGCCCTATAGGCTACCCTACCCATCCCCAAGTTGTGACCAAAAAAAAGTCTCCAGACACTGCCAGATGTCCCCGGGGGACAAAATCATCCCTGGTGGAGAACGCCTGCTGTGTACTCTGCTTTTTGAGGGAACTTTGGGTTTTTGCACTAACAATGGACCAGGAGGTAGGCAGGGGAGGGGACAGGAGTGTTTCCTCCTATTAAAATGTTTTAGAAGTCTGGAAAAATGTATTCATGCATTAACGGAAGCATTACAAGCTCAGTCAAGTGCGGCGGCTCACGTCTGTAATCCCAGCTGAGGCAGGAGGACTGCTAGAGCCCAGGAGTTCAAGACCAGCCTGAGTAACATAGTCCCTGTCGCTACAAAACATTGAAAACCTAGCTGGGTGTGGTGGTGCCCCTGTGGTTCCAAGCAATTCGAGAGGCTGAGGCTGGAGGATCTCGAGCCTGGAAGGTGAAGGCTGTGGTGAGCTATGATCACACCACAGCACTACAGCCGGGGCAACAGAGCGAGACTCTGTCTCAAACAAATGATGAGCTCTCTCTTTTTTTTGAGACAGAGTCTCACTCTGTTGCCCAGGCTGGAGTACAGTGGTGCAATCTCAGCTCACTGTAACCTCCACCTCCCATGTTCAAGTGATTCTCTTGCCTCAGTCTCCCAAGCAGCTGGGATTACAGGCGGGTGCCACCACACCCGGCTAACTTTTGTATTTTTTAGTAGAGATGGAGTTTCGCCATGTTGATCAGAGGCTAGTCTTGAACTCCTAACCTCAGGTGATCCTCCTGCCTTGACCTCCCAAAGTGGCTGAGATTACAGGCGTGAGCCACCACGCCCTACCTACAAGCTCCCTTAATCCCTACACTCAGTTTTGCAAGGTTAGCTTACACAAGCTCTTCTGTTTTTCACACAACTAGCCCTTGCTAAAAGGCAGGAGCCCAAGGGAACAGAAGCCAGCAGGACTGTGAAGTGGTGCTGGGTTCAACAGCTCCATCCCCCACAGGGGCCACACACTCCTTGAGGGCATCTCCTCCCTGACTGTGAAGGGGAATCATGCGCTCTTCCTCCTGGGCCTGGGCTATGTTTATACTGCTTTTGGGGCCGGGGGTGGGGGACCACGAGCCACGGAGGGGCTAAAGGGCCTTGCTCAGACTCCCTTCAGAGAGGGAATGGCTGTGGCCACCTCCAGCGACGCAGACCCCCAAGTGATGGGGTTCCAAGCAATGGGACCAGGGCAAGACACATATGCGCAGCAACACAGAACGGCAGCAGCCTCTCGGAGAGCGCTCTAAGAAAATGTTAGCTGGAAAACAGCGAAGCACAGAAATATAGGTAATGCTGTTATTTTCACAGAAAGGGGTGACTTCTCCCTGGGTGATTTTACAAAGGAGAAAGATAACACCAATTGCTTCCTGAGAGGGCAACAGAGAACTGGGAAAAAGAGACTTTTCCTCTAATTGTTTTATATCTTCTGAATTCTGAAACGTGTCAAAAACAGAACTTTATTTTTTTTGTTTTTGAGATGAGTCTCGCTCTGTCACCCAGGCTGGAGTGTGGTGATGCAGTCTTAGCTCACTGCAACCTCTGCGTCTCAGGTTCAAGTGATTCTCCTGCCTCAGCCTCCTCAATAGCCAGGATTGCAGGCACGCACCACCATGCCTAGCTAATTTTTGTATTTTTAGCAGAGACGGGGTTTCATCATGTTGGCCAGGCTGGTCTCAAACGCCTGACCTCAAGCGATCTGCCCGTCTCAACCCCTTGCTGGGATTACAGATGTGAGCCACCGTGCCCAGCCCAGAACTTACGTTTTAAAATAAGCCAGATAAAACAAGCAAAGAAACCCCAAAACCTCGCTATGGGTCTTGAGGATGAGAATAAAATTCCATTAGGTAGAAACTAGGGTATGAAAAGTCTGGCAGGCCCTCCCATGGATGTCAGGTGACGTCTGACACTGAGGCCCTGCAGAGCCCTGGGGTCCCTCCCAGCGTGGTCACCTCCGGGCCTTGCCCACCAGCTAGACATGCTGGGCTTGCACCCAAGGGCCTGCCCAGGAGGAAAAGAGAGAAGACCCCGAAGGGCTCAGTGCCCAGGACACCTTTGGCTACACACTGATAAAAAGTAGAAGTTAGGGGCTGGACACAATGGTTCCTGCCTGTATTCCCAGCTACTTGGGAGGCTTAGGCGAGAGGTTTGTTTGAATTGCAGGAGTTAGAGGCTGCAGTGAGCTATGATCACGCGACTGCATTCTAGCTTGAATGATAGAGCAAGGCCCTGTCTCAAAACAAACCAGACTAGGGCTCACGCCTGTAATCCCAACACTTTGGGAGGCCGAGGCACGTGGATTACCTGAGGTTGGGAGTTCAAGACCAGCTTGACCAACATGGAGAAACCCCATCTCTACTAAAAATACAAAAAATTAGCCAGTCATAGTGGTGCATCCCTGTAATCCCAGCTACTCAGGATGCTGAGGCAGGAGAATTGCTTGGACCTGGGAGGCAGAGGCTGCGGTGAGCCGAGATCGTGCCACTGCACTGCAGCCTGGGTAACAAGAGTGAAATTCCACCTCAAAAAAACAAAAACAAAAATAAAACCTACAAGTTAAATTAGTAAGGACAAAAAACTGTTACCAAACACCCCCAAAGCAAAAGTTAGAGAACAGAAAAGCGGCACAGGCTTCTGGGAAGTAATTCAACACCCGGTGACCACCTAGCACACAAAGAACGGTGCTCTCTAAACTTTCACGGGATAATGCAAATTATCTTTTGAAAATATTAAGGATAATTCAGAAAAACTTTACAAAGGACTGAGGAAAGTCATTCCTTTATGAGGTCCCGTGCTTTTTACAGGCTCAACCCAGAGTAGAAAGGATTCTCCTACTGGAACATGGTCGACACCGCGGGTGATGGCTCAGAACCTGAGAGGGGTGTCACGCCGCAGACACAGGCCCCGCAGCCGCGTGCACCCCGACGCCCTGCACGTACCCGGCCCCCGTAGAGGATGGAGGGTGGCTGCAGCACCCGCCCAGTCACGTCTGTCATCTCATCTTTGACCATGATCCCAAACTCACGGACGTATGGGTCTGTGTTGAAACTCGCGCTTCGCATCTGGCAAAGGGAAAAAAGAAAACGCACGGAGTGGGCGGGGGCCTCCGCTCTCCACAGCAGCCGCGTCCATTCCAAGCATCAGGGGTTTCTGTGCCAGGGCAACCGGACTGGACTCCACAGGGCGCCCCGTGTGGGACGGACGCTCACCAATTTGCTAATCTCCTCTTGCCGATCGGGCGCCGACCTGGCAGTTGCTCTGATCATGGTTGAGGTCTGATTGTCCGTTAATTTTTTAATGCATCTTTGTCCTGCCACTATGTTACAGACCTGCAAAGAAGGCGCAGAGACAGGCATCAGCGCCTCACTGGTGCAACCAGGGGAGTGGGCAGGGGGCTCAGGGGCTGGCGGGCTGGCTCTTCCCGGGACGGTCTCTGCCTCATCCCTGGGCTGTGAAGCGCTGGGCAGGTGCCCGCTGCTGGGCTGGCTCCTGCTCCACGGCCTTCCGCTCCACAACAGAAATCCCTCCTAAGTAAAACCAACGTCGTGCAAACATGCAGACCCCACGGACCCCACAGCCTCTGTGGCCGGCCCACCAGGCGAGCGGGGCTGTGTCCTGACACCGGCCCTTCTGGGCCCTCTCCAGTCTTCAGGGCCGTGGGTGTGAAAGCGTCTACAGGTGTGAAGGACATCTACCTGCGGGACAAGGCACCGGAGCCGCCCAGCCCTGCCTGAGCGACAGGCGAGCGCCGAGAACCTAAACACCCAGGGGAGAGTTACAATGCACGGCTCAGGATCAGCGTTCGAGCCTTTCCCGAGGCAAGGATTTTTGGAACAGCTGTGATATTACAGAGTGAGTGACACAACCGTGCAGTGACGGATGACACAGCACCTGCCTCCCCTGTGGGACCTGCGGGAGCGTTACACACATTCTGAGTCAAGGCTCACACCAACCCTCCAGAGAGCTGCCAACCCCACTTTACTGAAGGCAAAACCAAGGTGCAGCGCAGCTCAGGAACGCACCCGAGTTCCCACAGCAGCAGAGGCGGGGCCATTTGCGCCTGACTGGGGCCGCGGCGGTTGCTTGAAGCTGCACGCCCCAGCCTGGGCTGCCCTCCCAACCCCACGGAGGTGCGCGAAAGAGGGAGACTTGCCTCCAGGGGAAGGTAGGTGTGTTTCTGCTCCTGTCCGACTTGTAAACATGGGAGGTGGGGGTAGCGCAGAACCAGCTTGTGCCTGTCCTTGAAGTACTGGGCCACCGTGCACTCCACCGTCTGCCCGCTCTCCTGCTGCAGCGGGAATCTGGGGAGCAAAGGGCCTTTCAGGCTGAGGTCACCCCGGGCCCCATTCCTGCACTGCTTCTCATCTACCATTTGCTTTTTAGGGTGAAGTGTGAGGAGCACACGTTCAGGCACTTCCAGGAGTGAGTACCACATCACGTGCTCTGGGGTATCTGGGATGTTCCCAGGCCCCTACATTCTCGTTTTGTCTCTGGAGCTGGGAAATAAAAAACTACCTACACACGTCATTACTCCATCATCATAAATTACCCACGACGCCACAGTATGTGTCAAGGCGCCAGGATGAACGGAGACGTCCAGAAAGAAAGGTCTGTGCGTCTTCCAGAGAGCATGGCAACCCTGGAGGCCATTTCCATGCCGCACGCCCAGTGCCCAGAAGGCCGGCAGCCTCCAGGACAGGATGAGGAAGGCAGGCCAAGCCTATTCCGGCAGCCAGGGCCTCCGCGTGGTGACAGTGGGGTGCGGCACGGGCAAGTGCGGGGAGGCCTACGGGCACAGAAAGGGTGGGCCTCTGTGTGGGGACAAGGGGACGGGGCAGCTGGCACAGGGCAAGGACCACATGGCTCAGTTTCCACTACACCAACCCCTTCCCTCCGTCCAGACTGCCAGGCCACCTGTGGGGGGGGGAGGGGGCCCGGCCAGGCTACAGGCCGTCTCCTTCTGCTCCCTGAGCCACGGGCATCTTGGTTCCTCCGGTGCCTGGCAACAAGCCTGGCGCTTTACATGGAATGATCCATGAAGTGGATGAACCCTACTGGCCTGGGAGACATTAAGTGAAGCATTGGGGCCAAATCGATCATCCCCTTCACAAAGGAACTCTAGTACAACCCGGCATGCACTCTCATGCCTCCACCGGCCTAGATACCAGACTGTGCTCTTGCTGTTAATGACGGGACACACAGACTGGCCCAGGGAGGGGGGCATGCATCAGGGCCACAGCCCCTCCACCCCCAGCACTCAGGATGGGACAACGAACGCAGAAGACCCTTCTCTCGTCTGTGAGGCTCACGAAGGAAGAGGGAGAGAGCGCCCAGGTCTGCCCTCTCGGCACCCAGGTGGAATTTCATGATCGGACTTGATTTTCTTAGGTGAAATCTGGAACCTACCGAGTTATGTAAGGTACAATTTTGGGGATTGAAAAACAGAATGAAATGGTCCTTTCCAGGGACTCATGGCTCCAAAGTGTGCCCAATGGAGTGACAGCAGGGGCCCCAGCCAAAAGAGTCTGAAAGGAAGGGTGCGTTACGTTTGGTGACTGGCAGGCCTCCGGGTGACGTTGCAGACTCGGTACTTCCTCTTCATCTGTCCACAGTGCGTAATCTCCACCTTTAGACCTGGGGACACAGAACACAGCATCAGGGTCTGGGCTTTTCCGAGCCCGAACGCAAGCTCCACTTCCCAAGAATCCATTTTCATAGGAAGGTGGCTGCCGACCCAAGTTGTGGGGGCTCCATAGGGCTGCAGGGCTCCCCTAGGAAGGATGACCCACAGGTCACCCCCCAGGCCACCCCAGTTGGGTCCATCTCACCTACAAGAGTACACGTGGTAGGGGAAGGCTCAGCTTACAGCATGGGGTGTCCACCCTCGTGCTATTCTGAGCCCCCCATGGGTCACTGGGGTTGCACGGGGTACTGTGGATGGCCCTGCAAATGGCCTTCGGAAAGGACAGGTTCAGCAGGCAGGGCTTGTGGAGCCAGTGGTAGCCCCCACTCTGCTGCTGATGGACAGAAGGAGCCCGGTAAGTCCTAGAGCCCCGGATGTAAGTTTCTTAGAACAGAAAGCAGGCGGAGCAGGTGCAGACACCTGCTGGGGCTGCAGAAGGATTAAATGAAAACAAAAGGAAATGCATCCTCGGTTCCAGCGTTAGAAACGCCGGTCACAGCCACGCTGCTGTTTCAGTCCTGACCTCATCACTCGGGCGTGACCGATTCCCCGACCTGGTCCTCACCCCACGGGGTTGCATTTATTTGGGAAACCCCGACTCCTGCTCATCTCCGTGCTACTGCACCTGATGGCTACAGTCTGCCACCTCCACCTCCCTAAACGTGCCCAGGACCCAGCACTGCAAAACGCAGTTCCGGAGGCAGACCGAGAAGGGGCCTCCCAGCCCTTAGCCAGGTGTGCCGGGACAGTTCATTACCTTTAATTTCTTTGGTAAACTTTACCCTTTGGGAATCTGTCAGAGGTTTTTGTTGTTCTTCAATACTTTTAAAATCCAAAACTTCACAAACAAACTCGATTACTGGCTGTGCCTTGTAAAACGCTGTGGCCGACACTGTAGGTGAGAAAAGAAAGAGGTGAAGGACAAGTTGTGACTGCGGGGCTGCTGGGTGGGCCTGGAGTCCTGGAGGGGCCTTGCAGGCCGGGCCAGCCACGGTGGGGACACCCGGCCGGGGTTCTCACTCTCTACCGAAGCCACCCTTGGGCCCAGAGACGGGCAGGCCAGTGGTGAGAAACCTGGGCCCGAGCCACCGAGCCTCCCTCTGGTCAGGGCGACAGAAAGGAGCCGCCTGGCTCTGAAGACTAAGCCACCTCTGAGAATAAAGAGTGTTGTAGGATTTTCTGATTATCTTCTGGCGCAGATACTTCTGAAATTCATCATTCCCTTTTATATAATTATATTTCAAGAAATGTATAACCGAGCAAGATCAAATTCTAATTCCTTTCTAGAGCTTTTCATAATAATCAACTCCCCTAGGAGAAGACTGATCCTTTTTGCTGGACTTCACTCTAGTCTTTTTCACAGGGAGGACAGCGGATGTCCTGCATAGAGCAGCGACCAAGTCTCCCAACAGGGACAGGCCACACCCAGGCTACCGTGGAACCCAGGCCTACCGGAGGCCAGCAGGAAGGAGCCCCGGATCCTCAGGCCCACCTCGGCTCCCGAGCGCAGCTCCTTAGGCTGGGGCCTCCTGGTGGCTCCATGCTCACCTGAGAGCCCCTTCCCTAACCCACCCAACACTGCAGGTGAGATGGGCCAGGGGTCACACGGCAGCGCCAGCTCTGAGAGGGGCCGTGCGTGGAGCTGGCCACATGGCCGCCCGGGTCCTGACCCCCAGCCCATGCCCAGCCCTGCCCTGCAGTGAAGACCCCAGGGCACTGCTCACCATCAATATTCAGCATCATTTTCCAGAGAGAAGGCCGGACGGACTGATGGAAGCCAAACCACACTTCTCGGCCCCCGCCAAGAGGGTTGGAGCAGCCTTCAGACGCGGTGAAGAAGGAGCGGCCCACGGGGGTGTACCTGGAACCGAGAGACCCCATCCCACCTCCTGTCAGATCAGCTTCCAGAAGGACAGCCGCCTCTGGGTGGGCTTCGCCTGCGCCCACCACATGCTCATCGGAGTTCCGTTTCCCCTCCTTCTAAAACTGCGTTTACCGTGCGGCACTCCAGCCTGTGTGCACGGCCTGCTGTGTGGGACCCATGGCCTCACCAGCAGATGGCAAAAAACATTTGCTTAAATGCACGGCACAGGTGGGACATGAACCCCAGGACCCGGCGTTTCTGTCCTGGCCTCCCTGTCCTGACCTCACCTCGCTTTATTGTCCCCGCTGTCTGCTCTTCCCCCCATGGGGCCTGCGTCTCCAAGAGCAGAAGGAAGCGGGCACCTGCCAAGTGCCAGCCCCAGCCATGTGGCTGTCCATGCATGACCCAGCAGCCGCCAGCTCCCTTAGAGGGGGGCTCCCCAGCCAGGCTCCGCGGTCCAGGAACCGCCCGCTGGGGGCTCCCCCGCAGGAGGTGGCAGGGCCAGCATGAGGGCGTCACAATTTCTTCGGGCCTGCCAGGGACGCTGTGCTGACCCGGCTAGAGCCACTCGACCAAAGCAGACACATTCTCCAGCACAGCAGCTTCACCCGCCGCAGGGACACATGGGGTCTGGTGGCCCGGGAGGTGCCATCACCAATGATTCTGCAGGGAAAACCCGCTGTGAGCCGCGATGCTCCCCGCCTGTCAGGGGCGCTGATCCACCACGCACACGGCCCTTCACCTTCCACCTGAGACGTGTTCACAATCCCGCCTCTACTGCGCTCGTTTTCCAAAAATGAAAACAGCACTTTCCTCCCTGATCATAAAATTCATGCAAGTAATCCAAAGGAATTCAGAAAAGAACCACAGTAATTTCTGCCACTCAATTAAAAAAATAGACGCCATTTTGGCCACCATCCTTCTAGACTGTTTCTGCACACACCGACCGTCCTCCGTCGATAGTTCAGAGACAGTTACACAGGGGGAAGGTGTGTCCCGCCGGGAGTGAGTCTGGCCTGTATTTGGTCACCTCCTCCCATGCCTGGAGACTGAGAGCTCCAAGGTCCCTTCCAAAAATCTCACACATGGCCTCAAGGCACCTCCTCTTATACGAAACGAAGGAAGCCCCAACCCTCTCCTGGAATCTTAACGCTTTGGTCAGTCCTGGGGTTTGTCAGTGTGGAGCGTGTTTCGTTTTAGGCTTTGGTTGGAAAGAAACCAAACTTGAACATTCCACTTGTGCCCAGGCACCAGCGTGAGGGCGGGCGCCCGGGGCAGGAACCTGGGGGCTGACGTGCGGAGCTGGCCTCGCTCCTCCAACAGCGGGTCACTCAGGAAACTGGGACAACCCTCTGCCCAGCAACTGGGTGGACCGTGAGCCCTGAAACTGCTCCCCTATACCCTCTCCCAGCAATCTCACGTGTGGCAATTTGTGGTAATAGAGCAATCTAGAGAATTAAGAAGTCCCTCACAGTCGCAAAAAGCAGCGGGGATGGTACCTAGGGCTGTGGACACGCGCGTAGCACAAAACTGGGAACATAGCATTATTCTATCACGAGTCCCAGGTGCAAGCGCCAGAGAGGAGCAGAGAAGTGCTGAGCACAGAGGGCCTCGGAGCATGAACGCACACACAAGGAGGCCACCTTCTGGCCAGGCCGACAGTGCTGGTGATTGATTGATTGATTGATTGGTTGATTTGACGGAGTCTTACTCTGTCGTCAGGCTGGAGTGCAGTGGAACAATCTCGGCTCACTGCAACCTCTGCCTCCCGAGTTCAGGCAATTCTCCTGCCTCAGCCTCCTGAGTAGCTGGGGGATTACAGGCTTGCGCCACCACACCCGGCTAATTTTTGTATTTTTAGTAGAGATGGGGTTTCACCATGTTGGCCAGGCTGGTCTTGATTTCTTGACCTCATGATCTGCCTGCCTCGGCCTCCCAAAGTGCTGGGATTACAGGCATGAGCCACCGCACACGGCCGATTTATTTTTACATTAACATTGTTTCCACCTTAGCACCATTTGTTATCTTGAGCACAGAATGAGCCGTTCCTTGCACAGCTTTAAGACCATGGGGGGCCCTTGGAGCTGCAGGAGACGTCCCCCACCCTTGGACCCATGTGGCGCCCTCACCTCATGGATGGCAAGTGCCTCATGACCACGTCCAGGGCCTGGATCGTCTCAAAAGGGACACTGGGCAGCCGCCCTGAAAGTGCATCGTGTAACGCCTGCAAGCTCACGCAGGACACCCACTTGATGGACACCTTGAAGATGCGATCCTTGCCTTCTCCCGGGAGCGTGACCTCCAGCTCCACCTGCAAGGATCAAGCACACAAGGTTACTCCTCCTGCGAAGCCCCAGGGAGGACGCAGCCCGGCTGAGGTTGGCTTGCAGACACTCCTGAGCGAGGAGGTCTCCACTCAGCCCTCTCGCCAACCACCAGCCACCTGTGGCTACTGAGCACTTGAAATATGACCAAGGAACTGAATTTGAAACTTTACTTACTTTTGATGAATTTAAATGTACACAGCCACACGTGGCGGGGGCTGGTATAATGACAGTGGTGGAAAACACATCCTCTTGGCTCACACCTGAACGATGAACTCACTACCTCTCTCCTCTCCAGTCTCTGAGCTGCCCCTCCCCTCAGCCACGTGTTACACCTGACCTCAGATGCTGCTGTCACCTGCAAACTCCACTCTGCTACTCAGAACCGGCAGTTAAATAGCAATCTGGCCCTCATCCCTCCCAATATGTGGACACACACAAGCCTACTCGGGTGATGTGTGAAGAAACTTCACTACTGGCTGATAATGCTTCCTAGTGTCTGTAAGCACCGACATGACAGGTTATGGAGGGTATGTACTTCATCCTCACATGCCCAGTGACCCCAGCAAAGGGAAATTCATTCATCACTTTTTTTGAGACAGGGTCTCACTGTCGCCCAGGCTGGCGTGCAGTGGTGCAATATTGGCGCACTTCAGCCCTGGCCTTTTAGGCTCAACTGATCCTTCCACTTTGGCCTTCCAAGTCACTGGGACTACAGTGCGTGCCACCAAGCTCAGCTAATTTTTTAAGTTTTAATTTTGTAGAGATGGAGTTTTACTGTGTTGCTTGTGCTGGTCTTGAACCCCTGGGCTCAAGGGATCATCCCATCTTGGCCTTCCAAAGTGCTAGGAATGCTGGCGTGAGCCACTGTGCCTGGCTGATTCACCGCTTTTTGTACATGAAAACACAGAAACCCAGACTTAAAAAAACAGCCCAAGGTCACAGAGCCATGAACGGGCAGAGATGGGATCTGGACCCCGAAGGCCTTCCCACTCCACACGTGATGCCAGGGCCCCAGGTCTTCAGCACCAGCCTCCCCTACCCTGCCCAGGGCCTGCGGCCTCCACTCTGCACACCTGAGGTGCCAGGTGCCCTCCCTCACAAACTCCAGCTTGCCAGCATGCCCAGGCCCAGTGCTGTTTGGTGGCACTGGGCACATCTGTTCGCTTGCCCACTGCTCACCACGTCCATGCTCGGCTCCCATCTGCTCATCCTTGTAACCCAGGGACTGGCCCTCTTGCCACACCTTGTTTGAACTTCACAGAGCAACAACCAGACTCTGTGGACATCACCTGCGCACCTGGTTCCACCCAAGCACACACCCTTCCACCCAGGCCTGGGCCAGCTCTGGCAGATGCCCTCATGCCCATGAGCACTCAGAGCACTGTTGTGCCTGACGGCCCCAAACTGGCAAAACCTGAGGACCATCTGCCACAGATGAGGGCGGGGAAAAAGGAATGGATCCTTCTAGCCAGATGGACTTTAAACATCAAATACCAAGAAAACCAGCAAGTCACAGAAGGGCACTGCAGCACAATGCCTTGCAGACGTCAGAGCCACACGTATAGGGGACGCAGCACAGCGAGGGAAACTGACAGAGGGAAGGGCCAGCTTCACCTGACTCAGCACGACAGACGGAAGGGCCAGCTTCACCCGACTCAGCAGGACAGCGGAGGGGGTGGCAGGGAGGATGGAATCAAGGCTCAGTCCATGGGGGACTTCAGGGTGGGAGGAGGAAACAGCCGGGCCTGGGTCGGGGGTACAGGATGTGGTTTCATATCACTCTTTAAATATATGTACAAAGTGGGCCTGTGAACAACACGGGTTGGAATTACGCAAGTAGAGTTATATGTGGACTTTCCTCAGCCTCTGCTACCCCGAGACAGCGACACCAGGCTCCTCCTTTTTCTCGTCAGCATGAAGATGGAGGGGATAAGAGCCTTTATGATAATCCATTTCCACTTAATGAAAAGGAAACATTTTTTTTTTACCTTATGATTTCTTAAATAACTTTTCTCCAGCTTAAGAATATAAGAATAAACTATATAGGGCTGGGTGTCGTGGCTCATGCCTGTAATCCCAGCCCTTTGGGAGGCTGAGGCAGGTGGATCACCTAGGTCAGGAGCTCGAGACCAGCCTGGCCAATGCGGCAAAGCCCTGTCTCTACTGAAATACAAAAACTAGCCAGGCGTGGTGGTACATGCCTGTGACCTCAGCTACTCAGGAGGCTGGTGCAGGAGAATCGCTTAAACTCGAAAGGCAGAGGTTGCAGTGAGCTGAGACTGCACCATTGCACTGTAGCCTGGATGACAAGAGTAAAACTCTGTCTAAAAAAAAAAAAAAAAAAGAGCTGGGCATGGTGGTACAAGCCTGTAATCCCAGCTACTTGGGAGGCTGAAACAGGAGAACCATTTGAACCTGGGAGGCAAAGATAGCGCCACTGCCCTCTAGCTCTGGGCAACAGAGTGAGACTCTATCTCAAAAAAAAGAAAAAAAAAAGAATAAACTATATAATACATATAACATATCAACTATGTGTCAATTTACAGTTTATGTTATTGTTAAGGCTTCTGATCAACAACAGGCTATTAATAGTTTTGGGGGAGTCAGGTTATACATAGCCAGGTGCAGTGGTTCACACCTGTAATCCCAGCTCTTTGGGTAGCCGAGATGGGACCATGGTTTGAGCCCAGGCATTGGAGACCAGCCTAGGCAATATAGAGAGACCCCTTCTCTGCAGTCCTAGCTACTCAGGAGACTGAGACAGGAGGATCGCTTGAGCCCAGGAAGTCAAGGCTGCAGTAAGCTGTGATTGCGCCACTGCACTCCAGGCTGGGCAACAGAGAAATTGTTTAAAAACAAACCAAAAAAACCAAACAGGTCATAAATAAATTTTTGACTGCATGGGAGATCAGCGCCTGATATGTTTCGCTGTGTCCCCAACCAAATCTCAACTTGCATTGTATCTCCTAGAATTCCCACGTGTTGTGGGAGGGACCCGGGGGAGATGACTGAATCCTGGGGGCCGGTCTTTCTGGTGCTGTTCCTGTGACAGTGATCCGATTGGTTTATCAGGGTTTCTCTCTTCCCGCTGCCACCATGTAAGAAGTGCCTTTTGCCTTCCGCCATGATTGTGAGGCTTCCCCAGCTATGCGGAACTGTGAGTCCAATCAAACCTCTTTCTTTTGTGAACTGCCCAGTCTTGGGTATATCTTTATCAGCAGCATGAACGTGGACTAGTACAGCACCCCTAACCTTTTTGTGGTTCCAAGGTCAATTGTCTAGATATTTCTTTTTCATTAGTGGTACTTCATAATAAAATTCTAAGTAAGTCATACATAAGTAACAGTAACTGAAAGTGCACATTTGGCATAACGCTGGCAACATGGCAGGGATTCCTGAAGCCACTGGTTCCCACCCTTCCGGTGCCTCTCTTTACTTTCAGTTAAGGAAACAGATCTGAAGGGGCTGACTGAGCCGCCGCAGGCCATGCGGCAGGAAGCAGAGGGGCAGGTGCGTAGTCAAACTGTCCAACTCCAAAAAAGGAGACAGAGTCTCTGTGGGCCCAGGACCAGGGGCCTGGCTGCACATGGTGACGGGGGAATGATTCCAGTACGGACTGGCAGCTACCTGGTCCCAACAGGAGTGGCCGGGAGGGCGTCATTCCCCTTGTCCAGAAACAGCACACGCGGGTCACAGCGTGCAGGCGGAGTGAGCTCGGGAGTGGGAGGGCGCGTGTATTTCACACATGCCCCGGCCAGGAGGAGCTATAGACCCGGGCACAACTGCGGCAACAGCACTCACGTGTGGCCTACAGTGCTGTGCCCCGGCACAGATCGGATGCCTGCCGATGCCACCCTTCAAAAACCTCTGAAAGCAAAACTGAGGGGCAATTCCAAGGGGTCTATTTTCCCACAGCAAAATACACTCTAATTTGTAAATGTATTGCAGTCCAGCCTCCGCTTGGCTCGCAGAGGAAAAAACAGCAGAGTCACCCCGGACTCTGTAACTGTCTGCCCAACCCGTGTCTGCAGTGGCTGGCTGGTGCTCGCATGGGGCAGCTTACGGCTGTGTGGAGATTTTAGGATGGCCATCATGCCATGAGGGCAGGAGGCACGCGGCTCTCCGGGGGGCAGGCCTTGTATGCATCCAGGCTGCCAGCAGCAGGTGGCCCACACCTGGGACACTGCCACCTCCCAGCAGCTCGAACGCTCGATCCCAATGACCCAACATCTGAAGGTCACTCCCAGCGCTGCTGCCTCCTGTGTTCTGACCTCAAGCAGGTGGCCCGTCAGCCTCCAGCACGCAAGAGGACAAGCCCCGCCCACCTCACAAAGCGCTAGTGTCAATTGCGGCGCAGCGCTAAATTCTGGGAGTGGCCCAAATGCCATTTTCTGAACATGGATAATAGAAAATGTCAGCTCCGGACTCCCATCCAGGGCCTGGAACACAGCGAGGCAGCTGTGACATCCAATCTCCCCAGACAAGCCAAACCGCATGCTGGCCTCCCTGTCTAGAAATCCTCAGGGTGGGAGAAGTAAGACTGTCATGGGAAATCCCTGTTTCAGTGTCGTCACACAACTCAGCAACAAAGAGAAAACAGCACTCTAAAGGACGCAAAGCGGCCAGCTCAGGGGCTGACGCCTGTAATCCCAGCACTGCGGGAGGCCAAGGCAGGCGGATCGCTTGAGCTCAGGAGTCGGAGACCAGCCTGGGCAATGCGGCAAAACCCTGTCCCTACAAAAACAAAATTAGCTGGGCATGGTGGCATGCTTCTATAGTCCCAGCTAGTCAGGAGGCTCATTTCAGCCAAGGAGGCAGAGGTTGCAGTGAGCTGACATCGTGCCACTGCACTCCAGCAGCTGCCTTTCAAAAGGCTGTTCCTGCACCAAGTTTGGCTGTGGCCCTGGCTGAGCCCACAGTCTCCCTGTCCTCTGCTGCTGAGGAGGGGGAGAGGGAGGCACTGCAGGCGTGGTATGTCTGGCTGGCCACGAGGATCCCGACCTGGACATGGCCTCCCTGGGGCAGCCGGAAGAGCTGCCACACCCACTGTGTCTGCCAGCCAGGGCTGCCACGGGCCCCTTCCAGAAGGCCCGTACAGCTCACGTCTTGTTGAAATGTGCCAGGAGGTCTAAAGGCATCCTGGGACTCTGCAGAGCAGCAGCTCTCAAAAGGCAAATCACTGTCCCAAAAGACTTCAGCACCAAAACCAGCCCCACTCAGCATGTCTGCAAAGTGTAGGGGATTTCAAAGTCACCTGGTGGGGGACACAGCAGGTACAGGGAGTGGCTGCCAGTCAGGGCTCGGCAGCACTTCCTGACCACCTTGCACTGGGCTGGGCTGGGGTCAAGGCACCTGGCTGGCTGGAGGGACCCTCAGCTCCAAGAGATGGCAGGTCAGCCCCAAAGATGCTTGTGCTGGGCCCAGGCTGAGCAGGTCCCCCACCGCATGCTGCCCAAGTCTCCCTAGGCTTCTCCTTGCCCCCTGCCTTCTCTCCCTGAGTCTTCAGGTGCAAAAGCTTCACTGCCTTGGGGGCCCTTGGTCTCCCTTGCTGCCAGACACCCCCATCCCAGGTCAGGAGGCACCAGCCAGGCACTCCTGTGGTCACAGCATGGTTGCGCTGGGCACAGAGGTGGACAGACAGGAATGCTAAGCTACCATCTCCTTCAGCTTCCAGGAAGGGTCTGCTATCAATCAGAGCTGTGGGTCTGCCCTAACTTCCTTCTGGGAAGGAGACTCCTGTGCTCTCCACCAACCCTCCCAGACCATGCCAACTAGACATTCAATGAGATCATTCAATGAGACGCGGCGATACACTCTCAGGTTCATCTCCCACCAGCCGAATCCTTCTGGGCCATTGTCACTCATCTTTAGTTATTTGGGGAGTTTACAGCAGTCTCCATAGGTTCCTGAGCAGTGCTCCTTCTGGCACCTGTCCGAATATTCTACTCAACTGAGCAGAGACGCTCCAGGGAGCTCAGACCTTCCATGGGCCCCGACAAGGGGAGGATGGGGCAGGACCCAGGGCTCAGAAGAATAGACAGCACATATCATGCCTTCAAAAAAGGACCCAGGACTTCAACCCAAAATGTTCATCAACTTGTATCGTTTCCTGGGTCTCCATCTCCAGTTCCGGAAGGTGAGGGAGTGAGGCCGGGTGGTGTCAGCATCTCCCAGGCCTGGGAGAACTCGTCTCTTCCCACACAGGGGCTGGGATGAAGGCAGGCAGGCTGACACTGCAGGAGGGGAGCAAGGGGCTTCATGTGTAAGGGCAACGTGACACAGGCCCTCTGCACAGAGACCTGGCAGAGCTGCCAGAGTCCTGAGAGCCCCCAGCATAATGGAGCACCAGAACCATTCTGCTCTTACCGCAGGGGAGGCATGAAAAAGTACTTTGCAGAAAAAAAGAGAAAACCCAAGGACGACACTGGGACATAATGCAAGAAGGTGGGCGTGGGGACACCTCATTATACAGGCTCTCGCATAGGAGGGGTTAATTTCTGCACCTGCAGAGGTCCTACAGAACCCCCAAGACTAGTGGGAGGAACGTGGTCTGCAACCAGGGAACCCCCATGCTGACCGAACACAGTGGCTTCGAGCAGGTTCTCTGTGTTCTCTGGAACCTGAGCTGTTCTTTTCTTTTTTGTACCTTTCTTTTTTTGTTTTTTTGAGACAGAGTTTCACACTTGTTGCCCAGGCTGGAGTGCAACGGCACGATCTCAGCTAACTGCAACCTCTGCCTCCCGGGTTCAAGCAATTCTCCTGCCTCAGCTTCCCAAGTAGCTGGGATTGCAGGCACGTGCCACCATGCCTGGCTAATTTTGCGTTTTTAGTAGAGATGGGGTTTCACCATGTTGGCCAGGCTGGTCTCAAACTCCTGACCTCAGGTGATCTACCTGCCTCAGCCGCTGATGCTGGGATTACAGGTGTGAGTCATCGTCCCTGGTTGACCTAAGCTTCTCATCTGACAAAGGGACGAGAATGGTTGGGATGAAACTTAAGAGGGAATGAACTCCCACTGGGTGTAGCGTTGCATGTATGAGGGCTCTCGTGAGCACCCCAGAAAAACACTTTGACCATCAGCAAGGCTGACAGACCAGGGCCAGAAATCAGCAGTTCTGTGATTTAAGCTTCATTTAAATTTTTATTTGTAGACAGAGTCTCGCTCTTGGCTCACTGCAATCTCCGCCTCCTGGGTTCAAGTGATTCTCATGCTTCAGTCTCCCAAGTAGCTGAGATTACAGGTGTGTGCTACCATGCTTAAATATTTTTTTTTTTTTTTGTATTTTTAGTAGAGATGAGATTTAGCCATGTTGGCCAGGCTGGTCTTGAACTCCTGGCCTCCCAAAGTGCTGGGATTACAGGCGTGAGCCACTGCACCTAGCCTTAAACAAAGAATTTTAAACCCTCACTACTCAACGTGTGGCATGGGGCTAGCAGCACGGGCAGTGGCTAGAGCTGGTGGGAGATGTATCACCCGGGGCCATGGAGTACAGGCCCCAGGCCAGAAGCTCTTTTTGGGGTGTACATGCTCACTGAACTCTCACAAAGCCCCTGGGAGGTAGTTTTTGTTGCCACCTCTCCATTTTACAGGTGAGGCAGTTGAGGCTTGGTGGGTGAGGTGCCCCAGGTCCTGCCACAGGAAGGGCCAGGCCAGGCCTCACACCCATAGCTATGTTTAACCCAGAGTACGTGTGCAGGTGATTTCCAGAATGACAGGTCTCAAATGTAAATATCAGATACCATACAGACTCCCTCAGCCCCTTTTCAGAAAAACTACCCTGATGCCCGCCCTGTGTGTAAATATAAATATCTGCAGACAAAACTGCGCACAAACTCTTTATGCTTTTCTTTCTTATAAAACTTTAAGTAAAAACAATGCAAATTCAGCACAAAATTTTTAAATGACTACCTTTCAACGCCACTGCACGTTAGTTTGCAAGGGGTGATCATACTGGACTGATGTGCATTTGGTCCTAGGACCCACTCCCACTGGGAAGACCAACGTCTGTCACCCTGGGCTGGCAGCAACAATGCACAGACCGCCGCCCCTGCTTGGATCCATGAGGTCGCTTTATGCAGGGTCCTATGTCGTCACTTGGCCTCTGCTCAGTCACAGCACATTCTCCCCTTGCCAGAGCATGAGAACGCGGAGGAGCACCACTGGGTGCTGAGCCTGGGGCGCCCCGTGGACCATCCAGAAAGGCTGAAAGGAGCTTATTCAAGATTATCATCAAAATGAAAAAACAGCTACTCTGGAGGCTGAGGTGGGAGGATTGCTTGAGCCTGGGAATTGAAGGCTGCAGCGAGCCATGACTGCACCATTGCACTCCAGCCTGGGCGATGGAGTGAGACCCTGTCTCAAAAGAAAGAAGACTGAATGTAGAGAGAGCGGCTTGCCGGCCCCTTGCCCTCCCACTAAAATAGACATCCGTGGCAGCAACTTGAGACCCTTTGCACACTGAGCTGGCTTCCTTCTCCGGAACTTGGGGTTTAAAAAGCAAACTGTATACGCTGTCCCAGAGGGAGTCAGCCTTTCATTCTCACAGTTGTTAAATTCCTGGTTTCTGATGTGCGTGCTTCTTAAAGTATGTGTTGAGATTATTTCTGAGCCAGGTTTCTGTTCTTCTTCTACTTATAAACAACACCTGTATTGCTCTGGAGCAGCACATTTGTTGAAAGATGTTCCCAAAAAGTCACAACTTCTGGGCAGAAATTTTATTACTTTTTAAATAAAGCCATGATAAGGATAAAAGTAATAAGAGAAGGTGACATTTTAATATAAGCGCTACTCCCGGGTTTGACTCATCCCCGTCATTCTAATTTCAGATGAATCACTGGCCACAGGAGACTGTTAACTGTGCCTCACTGCCATGGCTCTCTCTCACACACCCCCATATGAACTTACTTTTCCATTGGTCTTTTTGTGGAGATAGAGTCTCACTCTGTTGCCCAGGATGGAATTTGTGGTGCACTGAGATCGCTCACTTCAGCCTCTAACTCCTGGGCTTACGTCACCCTCCTGCCTCAGCCTCCATAGGTCTTTATAATACTGGTGCTTACTCTTGGCCCTTGTCTGGTGGTGGTCTGTGGCTTGTGTTTTGTGTGTGTACGTTGTACTTGAAGGCTGGTGGTTTCAAGTTCTCAATCTGTGTTTGGACCTAGACAAGTTAACTCCTATCACCAAAAAACACAACACACAGAAGATAGTTTTTATGGATCTCAGGACGAAGCGCGTGGCAACGAGCTGCTCTCTCCTCCTCAGGGGAATAGTTTTGTGTATAAGAATAGGCGTGGGCCGGGCGCGGTGGCTCAAGCCTGTAATCCCAGCACTTTGGGAGGCCGAGGCGGGTGGATCACGAGGTCAAGAGATCGAGACCATCCTGGTCAACATGGTGAAACCCCGTCTCTACTAAAACTACAAAAAATTAGCTGGGCATGGTGGCGCGTGCCTGTAGTCCCAGCTACTCAGGAGGCTGAGGCAGGAGAATTGCTTGAACCCAGGAGGCGGAGGTTGCGGTGAGCCGAGATTGCGCCATTGCACTCCAGCCTGGGTAACAAGAGCGAAACTCCGTCTCAAAAAAAAAAAAAAGAATAGGCGTGGACGTTATAGCACGTCACGGCACGTGATTCCACCAACGGCACCCCGGGGAACTTACCTTGTCCCTCCCGATCGGAAGGGGCATGGCTGTGTACAGATTCTTCCTGCCATCAAACACGGGCTTCCGATCCCCAAAGATCTGGGTTTTAAAGTGCTGGACCATGTGTTCCACGATCTCCCTGAAACAAAGATAAAAGTCAGGCAACACATCAATAAAATGGAGAACATGGCATACAAGGACGACATTTTTCTTATGCTGTTAGTATTATTTTTTTTTCTTTTTTTTGAGATGGAGTCTTGCTCTTATTGCCCAGGCTGGAGTGCAATGGTGTAATCTTGGCTCACTGCAACCTCTGCCTCCCAGGATCAAGCAATTCTCCTGCCTCAGCCTCCCGAACAGCTGGGATTACAGATGCACACCACCTTGTCCAGCCCATTTTTGTAATTTTAGTAGAGACAGAGCTTCACCATGTTGGCCAGACTGGTCTCAAACGCCTGACCTCGTGATTTGCCCACCTTGGCCTCTTAAAGTGTTGGAATTAACGGCATGAGCCACCACACCTGGTCCTCTGATGCTATTTTTTTTTTTTTTTTTTTTTTTTTTTTTGAGACAGAGTCTCACTCTATCACCAGGCTGGAGTGCAGTGGCACAATCTCGGCTCATCGCAACCTCCACCTCCTGGGTTCAAGCGATTCTCCTGCCTCAGCCTCCCGAGTAGCTAGAACCACAGGCGCACGCCACCATGCCCAGCTATTTTTTGTATTTTTAGTAGAGACGGGGTTTCACCAAGTTGACCAGGATGGTTTTGATTTCTTGACCTCGTGATCCACCCGCCTTGGCCTCTAACGCCATCTTTTAGGCAATTTTGTAAGACCTGTGTCTCCTTTGGGCAACATGACTTCAAACTTCTATAAAGCAGCAAACCAGACCCACGAGTGAGTTTGTGCTCATGCATTTAGTCAAACACAGGAGAACCTGGTATGTGCCGGGCACTTTATACGCCACATACAGCAGATGACGGACACTTCCAGAACCTCTGGAGCTCCTCAGAGACACTGACGAGAAGAGCTATGAAACGGATGCTTGCTGCTGGGAGGGACAGGGGTTTTAGTGCTGGGGGCTCAGCACTCCCAATCCCCACTTCCACACCATGACAGAGAGGCCTCAGAAACATTCTGCAAACCTCCTGCTGGCCTTGGGCTCTGCTCCAAAGAGGTACCAGCTTGGCATAGCACTCTTCTGGCATTTCAGGTGGTTGTTTTATTAGCAACAGGGTCTCGCTCTATCACTGGAGTACAGTGTCGTGATCACTTCTCACTGCATCCTCAACCTTCTGGGCAGAAGCAATCCTCCCATCCCAGGCTCCCAAGCAGCCAGAACTACATGCCCAGGCCACAATGCCCAGCTAATTTTTAAAATTTTTTTGAAGAGAGGAGGCCTCAATGTTGCTCAGGCTGGTCTCAAACTCCTGGGCTCAGGTAATCCTCCCGCCTTTGCCTCCCCAAAGTGCTGGGAGTACAGGCATGAGTCACTGTGCTCAGCTCAGAGGGGTTCTGACGCATTTCAGCTCCACTCACTAAATGCCTGATGAAGCGCAAATGTGAAGAGCCAGGGTCCCTGGCTGCCCCCAAAGGCCCACATGAGGGAAACACGTAGAGGCCCACGGGATGCTTTCACTAGGAAATGCCAGCTCAGGGGATGTGGTAAAGAGGGAGAGGCAAGTCGACCAGCAGGGGAAGTAGCTAACAGACCTCCACGGGGAGGGGCGATCGGAGCTCTGCATGGCTAGAATGGTCTTTCTCCTGAGCAGAGCCCCAGGAAGCAAGAATCTGCCAAGTCCTTCCATTCCTTTCCCAAAAGACGAGGCAAGCTGGCCTGGAGGGCATTCCTCACTCAGAATGGCTTTGCTTGGTCCATCTCCAGCAGCCGCAGGGATCCGGCTACCCTGCCCTCCACATCTGCAGTCTGGGGAGTGCCCACGGCAGATACCCAGCGCCTCTCAGCAACATCTCTGAGGGCTCCACCAAGCTGCATCCACCTCTGACAGTGCTGGGAGACCTGGCCTGGGCAGGGCACGGCCCCGGCATCCATCCCTGCCATGCCCGCCTGGTAGCCAGGGTACAATCTCACCTGGCACCTCCCCAACCTGTTCTGGGCTGCCCAAGACAAGGTGTGCCCTGCAGCTCTCATAAGAGGCCAGCTCATTCCTCCGCGCTCTCTCCAAACCATTACAAAGGGTCCCCAACCTTCAGAGAGCCACATCTCCCTGGCCAGGACATCACCGTCAACTTGAGGTGCAGATGGCTCCATTGGAGGGGGAGGTGGGTTCTACTCACATTCAAAGAACAAATCAGTCCCACCTAATTCAAACTTGAGCTGAGCAGAGTAAGAGGGCACACACCCCGACTCTTTATAAGGCTAGCAAAACCTTTCTGTTGAAACTGGACAGGGAGAGTACTAAGTGAAATCACGGACTGATCACTTATAAACAGAGATAGGAACAATACATTAACACACTGAATCTAGCAACATGTTTAAAAATATCGCTTCTCGGCCTTTTGGCTAAGATCAAGTGTAGTATCTGTTCTTATCAGTTTAAAAATAAATCACCTTGTCAAAGTTCCGTCGATACCAGAATCAAAAGATTGCATTTAACATCATAAAATTAATTAACATAAAACAGGTTATAAACCTAAAGACCATAACTGAAAAATGCCTAGAAGAAAACATAAGAGAAAGATGTTCATAAACATTGGGATAGACAAAAATTTCTAAAAACTTTGTCCTTAAAGGAAAAATTCATAAACCTGGCTTCATTAAAATTAAAAACTGTGGCCAGGTGCGGTGGCTCACACCTGTAATCCCAGCACTTTGGGAGGCTGAGGCAGGTGGATCACGAGGTCAAATGATCGAGACCATCCTTGCCAACGTGGCAAAATCCCCTCTCTACTAAAAATACAAAACTTTGCCAGGTGTGGTGACACGCACTGCTAGTCCCGGCTACTCAGGAGGATGAGGCAGGAGAATCGCTTGAATATGGGAGGTGGGGGCTGCAGTGAGTCGAGATCGTGCCACTGTACTCCAGCCTGGCGACAGAGCAAGACTCTGTCTCACCAAAAACAAAAAACAAACAAACAAACAAAAACTTTTACCCATCTCTTTAAGAAAGAAAAAAAAAGAGATACAGTCATAAAAACAAAAAGCCAAGGCCAGGCGCAGTGGCTCACACCTTTAATCTCAGCACTTTGGGAGGCTGGTGGAGCACCTGAGGTCAGGAGTTTGAGACCAGCCTGGCCAATCTGATGAAACCCCATCTCTAATAAAAATACAAAAAATTAGCTGGGCACGGTGGCAGGCGCCTGCAATCCCAGCTACTTGGGAGACTGAGGCAGGAGAATTGTTTGAACCCAGGGGGCGGAGGCTGCAGTGAGGCGAGATCGCGCCATTGCACTGCAGTCTAGGCAAGACAGAGCGAGACTCTATCTCAAAAACAAACAAACCAAAATGAAAAAACGAGCAATTGACTGGGAGGAAATACTCCACAATCACACAGACACACTTCTAACAACGAGCTTGTACACATAGTATATTTAAGAAAATTTTTACAACTCAGTAAGACACATAATCCAACTTAAGTGAGCAAAAGATTCAACCAGACACATGGCAGAAGAGGATACACAATGGCTGGTGAGTGCGTTCACGGATGTTCATCGCCAGGCTATAGGGAAGTGGAAATGAAGCCACGGACACCCACCAGAAAGGCTAAAATCGGAAACGGTAACAATACCAAGAGCTGGTGAAGGTAGCGGGAAGTGCTCTCTTCCATGAGGCTGATACGACTACTTTGGGAAAAAAGTGTGGCAGTTTTTTTTTTTTCTACAAAGGTCAATGTCTATTTACCACCTTTTTTTTTCTACAAAGGTCAATGTCTATTTACCACCCTGTCTAGCAATATCTGACACAAGAAAAATGAAAACACATATCCACGCAGACATTTGCATACAACTGTGCATAACAGCTCTAAACTGGAAGCAATTCAAGTAAATGTCCGTCTACCGGTGAATGGACACACACTGGACGCTACACCTACACACGACGAAATGCTTGAATCACCGCTACATGCGACGTGACAGGCGTCTCAGAAATGTGCTTGCGGAACGAAGCCAGACACGAGGAGGAACAGGTACACGATGATAATGATTCCACATACAGGAAACTCTAACAAGGAAAAGCAGTCCACGCTGACAGAAAGCAGGTCTGTGTTTGCTTTGGGACAGGGGACCTTAACTGAAAGGGGCAGGTGCATCGGGGTTGTTAGTGTGTCCTATTGATTTTGGCGGCTCTTACCGGAGCGTATATTTTTTAAAGACCATAGGCCCATATGAAGGCATGCCGAGGAGGTAACGTGGGTTAGGTTCCAGAACAGCACAATGGAGGAAATGTCACAATAACACGAGTGGCACAAGATGTGTGTTCCCAGCACACAGAAACGTTGTTTCCACTGTACTGCAGTCTAGTCAATGAGCAAGAGCATTGTTTAAAGAAAAAAAAAAAGCACATACTTTAATTAAAAAATACTTTATTGCCAAAAATGCTGAAACAGACATGAAGTGAGAGCATGCTGCTGGAAGAAGGGCAGTGAGAGGCTTGCTTGGCACAGGGCTGCCACGAACCTTTAATCTCTTAAACAGTAACAAACCGTACCTGCAAAGGGCAATGAAGCAAAGCACAAGATGAGGAGCGTCTGCACTTCAGAAACGTGCACTTTGTTGTACGTAAATTGTATCTTGATAAAGTTGACATTTGTACAAAATCAATGTAACATATTCTTAAAAAAATTATGACAATCTCAGCCAGGTGTAGTGGCTCACACCTGTCATACCCACGCTTTGGGAGGCCGAGGTGGGCAGATCACTTGAGGTCAGGAGTTCAAGACCAGCCTAGCCAACATGACGAAACCTGTCTCTACTAAAACCATAAAAAAATTAGCTGGGTGTGGTGGCACACATTTGTAATCCCAGCTACTTGGGAAGCTGAGGCATGAAAATCACTTGAACCCGGGAGGCAGAGGTTGCAGTGAGCTGAGACTGTGGCACTGTACCCCCACCTGGGCGACAGAGCGAGGCTGCATCTCAAAAACAAAAACAAAAACTAAGACAATTTAAAAAGCATTTAATA